TTACCATTTTTTTAAATTTCAAAAACCATACAAAAAAAAAAAAAAAAAAAAATCTCTCAGATGACAGTCTTGCATCTGAGGTGCCAGGAAATCGTACAACGAAGCAACAACTAGCACAACAAATATGCACAACTCCAGATCAAGAAAAACCCAGCTGCATGTAGACAAAAATAATATGGATTGGCTAAGCCTTATTATTTCACTATATGCGTACATGCAGACACACACTGGCAAGAGACCCTTTCTTAGGAGAATCTGACCTAAACGAGAGAAGTAACTGCAGAAGCACAACCAACCCCTCCTGCCCCTGTCCCCCAAATCACCGCGCCTGGTGAGAAGCACTGCTGACACTGAAGTGATCTATCACACGCAAAAAGCCTGCTGAAGGAAAGCAAACCTCTTTCTCTCAAAAAAGAAAAAGAAAAAAAATCTATTTCAAACGTCACTATATTCCTTCTGCACACAGGACCCCGACAGAAGTCGCACTCGGATTTTTCTCTCGCGCGGGCAGGAATCGCGGCAGGAGACCAGGCAGAGAGCGTCACCCTGGGAACACCGGCACGGCGCAGGCCGGGCACTGCCAGCGCTGCTGCAAGCACCGCTACGCTACCCACCCCTCCGAGCAGCGGCGTCAGCCGCTCTCCCCATCGTCACAGAACTCGGCACACCCGTCCGAGGGCAGCAGCAGCTAATCCTGAAGCCTGCGGGATCTCTCTTGAAAGATTCTGAAAATCTATTCCTGTAATTAACTTCAGAATGAAGCATAATAAATTAACTCAAACCTCCCTTGCAGCCCTTCTAACAGTATTTCTTGTCCTGTGCACAGCAACGAGAGCAGGCGTTCACACACAAACCCTTCCCGAGAAGGTACTTCTGGATAATTATCACCAGGCTTGATATTTGCAAACAATTCCAGGACGCAGTTTCTCTGACTTATCTCATTTAGAAAGACTTAAACAATATTGCCATTTTCTGCGAACTCACAAAGGTTTACAAAACACGCCGCCAAAACAGAGGACCTGTTTAGCTAAATGCCAGCCTGACCAAGCGTGCAGAGACCCTACAACGTGCATTTGTGCCGCTACCACGCACACGTGTGCGCTGCCCTACGGCCCCTGAAGCTACCGCCGCCAGAGTCTGAACCCCAACATTTATTTAAGGGAAAGGGGAAACAGAAGCCGACAAGAAGCTTCCCCCCATGGCACTCTGCCAACAGGCTCTAACGTAACCCAGAGGGCCCGCGCCCGGGCCGTTCGCGTCCAGGACATCCCTGCCCGAGTTACTGGCAAGTGTTTTCTATGGACTGACAACCTGGAGAAACCTTTGAGCAGCAGCAGTTTCAAGCATTCTTTCATAATCCACATATGAATGTAAAAACACAACATAGTATTTGCTCAAAGGGAGAAAAAAGAAGTAGGAAGCGACAACGATGATATCCTATGAATGAGACGATTGACATCGTCCCATTTCTTTTCTGCAGAGAAGGGCAAAAGGGACATCAAACAGCCATAATCAAGAGCTTTTAACTTTCAGAGACCGTTTCAAAGAAAACCAGGGGAAAACACAACCTAGGCAGAGCCATTTGTCCAGCTGGATTCACAAAGCTCCGATATCCCGTTCCACTTCCCGAAACTTTTTCATATGGTGACAGAAAGGGAGGAAAGACACAACCCACCACTTTGTGGGAGGAAAACAAAAATCATTTATCCTGCCCTCAGGCACATTAACGGGACACCACAGTGCTAACGGCACCTGCTCTTCCCCGCTCCGAGGTGCCAGCCTGAGGCTCGGCCCCTTTTGCGAGGGCTGCCTCGTTGGACGTTCTTGACAACCGTTTGGACAAGCTCATCTTTATTGCATCTCTGCCCAGCTCACCCTTGCGCTCGGAGGAGTCACTGAAAGCCTTTCGAAGGGAGACAAGTGCTGCATTCACATTGATTTCAGAGAGCTCCTTTGACACCAGGAGAGCTGTTAACAGTCTTCTCTGCCTTTCATAAAAGAGAAGGCTACAAGGAAATTCCCAGTAGGACCATCTTCAGCTCTCAAAGCCAGCGCAGACGCTCCCTCCTCCCTGCCTCGGAGAAAGCCGGCAGAGTATGAAGATGCTTAAAGCAAACTAAATGAAAACCTCCGCTATTCCAATCTCCCTCCCCGTTTCTGCTCTTCCAATCTCCCTTCCCGTTTCTGCCAGTCTTTACACTACATGAGTCACCTCACATCCGCCACCCTGGCCAGCAGCGACCTTTGCATCAGCACACATCATTTATTCATACAGCTATTCTTACAACACATCATCAAGGAAATATCCTTCTGTGAAAGCAAGGAGGAAAATCCATTTTGCTACTACAACTTCAGGCAGATAATTAACGTCTCAGCAGCTCATTTTCTCCTCCATGAGGTGCCACCGATGCTCGCCTACCTTAGCAAATTCCCACTAGAAACAACTTCAGCTCTCCGAGGATTCAGGGAATAACTCAAGAACAATAATAGAGAGGCCGAGACGCGGGGGGGTGAAGCGGCTGCTCGCGCCCCAAGTCGATAATCGCTGCCAAGCACCTGTCAACACCGCACGCAACGCAACGGCCTCTTTACTTGGCCTGAGCGCCTGGTTCAGGCCAACGCTCCCCTGCGAGAGAACTGCGCGGGGGAGGAAAGGGCGCCCGGTGCTCCCTACCGCCGGGAGCGCCCCAAGTCCCCGCTCACGCCGCGGCCGTGCCCCCCCGGTGGAGCCCCCGGCCCGGTGTCGCTCCTGCCCAGACAACGCCGTGAACCGCGGAAGCGGAGCCGAGGCGGAGGAGGGCAGTTTTGCTACCGAGGGAGGGCGGGGCTGGCGCGGCAGGGACCCGCTCCGCGCCGCCGGGCCCGGGGGCACCGAGCCCTGCCC